TAGAATATTATATAGTTGCTTTATATAGTTGTTTTTCTTTCTTTATGCCTTCTAAAATTATATAACCTTCTTAGGCATAAGGTTCTTTACTGTAATATCTTATGTAGGTAGAAGTTAGTATAGATTATACAGTAATTAAATTATATGTAGTAGGTACAAGCTTTAGGGAATCTTATGCAGAGCTGTGGCTATAGGAATATGTAGCTGCTTAGTTGTGCTCTTGTACAGTAAGCTATTATAAGGTAGTTATACTAATTACAGAGAAAGTATTAGGTCTACAGGTAATTTATACAGAGACATCCTGTATTATGTTAAAACTAACGCTAGTAGTAATAGTTTAGTATAATAGTTTAATAAAATAGTAAAAGCGTGTTTTTTTTATAAGTCTATATAGTGTAACAGCCTTTATTTTATTTTTCTTAAAACTAATGCTTTTATTCTGTAAGGTAGTAATTAGTTTTTATAAAAATAGTTAGCTAAAATCTTTAAAGTGTACAAGCTTTTACTTTATAAAGTTATTTTAAAAGTTCTTAAGTGTATATATATCTATTGCGCTTAATGTGTAGAGTTTTATAATTAAGTTAGCTATGTATAAATTAAGCTTTTTTTTAAGTATGTTATTCAATAGTTTAATTTTATCTACTTAATTTTTAATATTTATCTACTTTGCTAGGGTCTTTGCTAAGATGCCTATAAGAGGTACATATTAGTTATATGTTAATATGTTATGTTAGCTAGTTATAGATAGAGCTAGCGTTGCTTGTTGCTTTATAGTAGTTAATTATGCGTTGTCACGCGCTGTCTTACTTCTTGTTATACGCTGCCTCTAAACAGCCTTATGCAAAAAGATAAAACAAATGTCAGATTTGCGCACCTACTGTCAAGACAGGAGGAACGCTTGACGAAAGCTGCTACATAGTACGAGCAATAAGCTCGAACAGTATGTTGCTGTAAATTGCAGCATTTTGCAGCATGTTGCAGCAAATTGCAGCATTTTGCAGCATTTTGCAGCATGTTGCAGCAAATTGCAGCATTTTGCAGCATGTTGCAGCAGTTTGCAGCAAATTGCAGCAAATTGCAGCATGTTGCAGCAGTTTGCAGCAAATTGCAGAAAATTGCAGCATTTTGCAAGCTGGTCGCGCATAGGGCAAGTGCGCGAGGGACTCAGATCGGCAAAACAAAAAGCCAAGCAACACGAGTAGAGCAGAAAAAGGATCAATAAATCAACACAATAAATACAATCAATCAATCATCCCATACATCATATCCAAACCCATCATTCATCTCAGGAAGCCCAGAAACAGTGCTTCAATCTGACAACAAACCTCCTAGTGTTAAATAAGCACTACTATTTATATAATACCTTTAAATAGTATTGTACAGACAGGTTTTCTACTCTTTATTAGGTAACTAAACAAAGATTTATAGCTACTTACATATAAATTAAACTTTGTTTTTACTCTTGCTAATTTATAGTTAAATTAGTAAGAGAAAAAATTTCTTTTATATGTAATTTTTTAAATAAAAAGGTATAAGAAGAGCTTTCTATCTTACAGCATTTAAACTACTAATTAGTGTTAAATAGACTCTATGCTAGCTATGCAAAGCAAAGAGGTTTGCACAGTGTACACATCGCGCGGGTGGGGGGTTGCAGGTAACTGGTGTTGATTCTTGTTTTTCTAAGTCTGTGCGAAGGAAAGGGTATTTATCTGTCTGTGCGTACAACTGTGACACAAGACTATGTCACGTGACGCCCAACCGCGTATCTAAATACTGCTATTCGGACAAATTAGTTTATTAATTTTATTACTAATTTACTAAAGTTTTTTAATGTTATCTTAGATACTATTAATCTATTTTACTAAAACTTTTTTATTAGCTGTTAGAACTTTTAATAATTCTAATAAAGCTGCATAAGCTATATTAGAATTAAAGTTATATTAAGTAGTTATACTTTTTAAAAGGTGTAGTATTTAATGTTATAATCTTTACTTTATAGAAGCACTTAAGTTAATGTTATTTCTTAGGTAATAAAACAAAAGATAGAGGCTAACAGTAGCGTGTACAGTCCTACGTAATAGCTATTAGGCTAATAGAGTAGAGTAGGGTAACTAGATTATAGTTTGTCCCTATAGTAGTAGTATTGTAGCTAAGTTAAACAGTCTTGTTAGACAGAATTAGAGGTATATATGTTGTAAGATATATAAATAGTATTATAGCTCTTTAAAAAGCTAAAATGCTACTTAGTCTATGTATAAAATAAACTAAACATTAAACACACCTTTTTAAAGGCTGTTTAAGGTTAAACTATATACATGTTTAGTAGTGCTAAAAATAAGTTAGATAAGTTTAGTAAGTTTATTAGCACTAGCTTGCTAAGCTTATTAAGCTTATTAGACTTGTAGCCTACTCTCTTATTAGATAATACATTCTTCCACAACTGCTAGCAGCTGCGCTGCCTCTGTATCTTCTAATTAGTCTATAAGCAAGCGCTGCCCCAACCTAGCTAGATTGTAGAGTACTTCGGGTAGAGTTACGTCGGTCCAACCATAGACCGTAAAATTTAGTTTAAGTTATAATACTTATATACTATTATATTAAACTATTTAGTCTATAAAAAAGATTTTAAAGACTTTTTATTAACTAAAGCTTTTAAGTTTAGAACTTTTTTATTCTTTATAATTAAAATTACTTTTAAAAAGGTTATAAAAAGTGCACTAAAGTAAAAACTTAAAGACTACTAATAACTTATTAAAATTAATAGTAACTACTAATGTCTAACTAACTACTTTTTAATTCTAAAATTAAAATATGCTTTAGCTAAAGTAAGCTTTTTAAAGTTAATTAATAATTTATGTTAATAGCTAAACCTACTTTTATAGCACTTAAAGCTATACTTCTACTTAATTTAAAGTTAACTTTTAGTAGTATATCTATTAATAATTAAATTACTTAATTATAAGTATAGCTTAAGTAGCTAATTTAGCTAAAAACTACAGTTAACTTTTACTAACTACTAAATTACTCTTAATAACACCTTATACTACTTTTACTACTTTAAGTGTAAAGACTTTTTAGGCACTTTTTAAACCTAGTAAATCTACTTTACTAAATACACACTTAAAATTAAAATTTTTATAGATAGTAAAAAACTTACATTTAAATAATAGTACGCTTTTATTATAAATAAACTTAACATTAATTTAGATTACTATTATAGAATAAATAAAAAGAAAGTGTTTTCTGCATTTAAAGCGCGCTGTATTAGTGCAGCTATTAAAAAAAAAAGTATTTTAGTTAGATTAGTTTTTTTACTTATAAAAAAAGCTTTCTATCAATACTATCCTTTACCCTCTTCTGCGCTTTACGCTTCCTGCTTCACAGTGCTGTCACGGTTAAAAATGGTAGTAAAAAATAATAATAAAAAACAGTTTATATATGTTACTTTCTAGAAGGGATCTAATGGTTTGCTGAGACCAGCTCGTGGTTCAGTGACATGCCGACACCGACTAGAATGGACAAAGGAGGTTCATCCGGATGCTACAAGGCGGATGTGACGGCTCATACTGCGTCACATGCATGCTGCCTCGACCTCAGCTTGTCCCCGAGCTTAGCGCCTTGGCAAGAGGTTTATCTTCAAACCGCGAAGCAGATTCCTCTGCTCCTTAGCTTAATCCAGTTGTTACCTCTCCTCTTGCTTGTTGCTCGAGCGTGCCGGCCGTAACAGCATAGAACAAAGAAGTAACGTGTATATAGCGACAGCGAAACTCTAGTTAAGGAGGATAGTAATTCTTTCAATCAATTCCCTGAGCGGAAGAGCAAGTTCAGCCTGTATTCTCAAGTATTGCACACCTCTATTTTCGACCGTAACTCTCTACTATGTAACCCACTGTCAGGTGACTCACTAGGTGACCCACTATCAGGTGATAGATCAGGAGCTGAAGGCGCCATCACGTGAATAGAGCTCGAAAGAGCTCTGTAACTGCTGACTAATGTTACTGTCGGTTTTCGTCGGCTTCAGGTGCTTATACTGACGCCCACCTATAGATCCTATAATATTACAGCATGAACATCATCTGATCACGAGCTAGCTGCATGGCCCCCAATGTGTCCCGTTAAGATGCACGGTTACCCTCTAGGCGCATAAGCTTACGTACGTCAAGCTGACGAATTCGCGTGGCTTTCGTCGTTTCAGAGTTTGAGTCAATGCACCAAATTGACCTGATAAACCTGCAAAGGATGAGGAAAGTTTAAGCTCCATGAGCTAACAGTTAACCCTGCAATGCATCTGCACCGGGAGCGGGAGCGCTAGCGGGAGCGCTAGTGGGAGTTGCATAACCATAGAACGAATATCCATGTCGGTGATCGTATTCGGCTTACTGAATGTAAAACGAAGAACACTGCGGCATCGGACGAAGTGCGCATAACACTAAAACAGATGCTATTGAATGAATGTGCAAGAATGAACGGCCCCATAGTCAACCAGGTCATCTTGTGAGGAACGTTTTTCATCTATGGAGGGGTTTTCGACCTTTAATATCCCCTGTATCGGGACTCCGATGTAGATAACGTCTTTCTGTAATATCTTAGCGCTTAGTCTCAGCGATGAACGCGCAGTTCCTGTTGGCAAGCAAGTAGTGAGCAAAGAGCGGTAAAAGGTGTCTCCAATAACTTTCGAAATCGGCTCTTGGTGAGAGGAATGGTTTTGGCCCCCAGAATTCGAAATATGCATTCCTCTACCGCAACTCCGCAAAGTATTCTTCACGAAGAGCCATGGATCCTCAGAGTGGTGGGGAGGACGTTGGCTGGGTATTGACTGAGCATCTAGTTCATTACGCAGAATTTGGAACGTCAATTTGTACCTCTCTTCCTTGCGTTACACATTAGTCAAATTCACCAATTCATTTCCTGCTACGAGTAGAGACGATTCTATGAGCTCAAATTTTGATTACCCTCCTAACTCCTCAAAGGTCCCACAATGGACTATCCACTCGATTTGCTCAAGGAATGATCGTGGCCTTGATGCACTTCTTCGTCCGCATAGCATCAAGCGCATCGCCGAACTTCTCAAGAGGAAATGTATGCGTCACCACGCCTCTCACATCTACCTTCCTACTCTGTAAATACTCTATCGCACGCGGTAAACACCACATCTGAGAAAAAGACCCAAGGATCGTGATCTCGTCTCTGAAGATCTTGCCTGGAGAAACCTCGATCATCTCTTCCGGCGCATACGCCCCATAGAACATCACTTTTCCACTCTTGGTGCAGAAATCGATGGCTAGATTCAGCATTCTTGGATCACCAGTTGCATCTATGACATTGTCAAAGCCGTGAGGGTACTTGGTTTGCAGATCGGCCCACTTCTGACTGTTTAGTTCTTCGTTGTTGCGGTCGAGCTCAAGGTACTCGTCAGCAACTGTGAGGTTCTTGCCTAGATTCATCTTGTCGCCAGCCCGGGCGGCGACAACGAGCTTCTGGACACCGTTCAGCTTGAGCAGCTGTGCTAGACAGATGCTAGTCGGTCCAATACCAAGAAGTAAGGCTGTGGAGCCAGGACGAGGAAGCAGGCGGTCGAGGCCGTGGACCGCACATGCGGCGGCTTCGAACAGCGAAGCTTCTTCCCACGAGCAAACTGAGAAATGAAACAGTTTAGCAGCAGGGAAAATGCAGTATTCCGCGAAACCGCCATTCACTACGCAATTTGTTATCATAAGATCATCTCGGTGTCGACGAGAAAGGACTGACAATGAACACCGTGAGCAACGAAATTCTCACAGAATAGCAATTTCCCCTCCCGACAGAAATGGCAATGCCCACACAGCTCGGAGTTGTCTCCCGTAACTCTTTCGCCAATGGCAAAGCCTGTGACATTGGATCCAATGGCCACGACTTCGCCAGAGGTTTCGTGGCCAGTCACCACCGGCATGCGGGACTCGAAGTCACCATCGTGGATGTGCAAATCCGTGCCGCATATTCCACAAGATTTTACTGCGACAGTCATTCATATGTCGGGAGGTAGGAAGAGAAGAAACACATTGTTACCTTTAATAAGAACTTCGTCCGCCTTGGGGGTAGGAACCGGAATGGTCACAAGTTCATAGTCTTTGATTTTATTGTAGCGAATCGCTTTCATGGTTTGGGGGATTTGAAGGGACATAGTTGCTTCAATATTCCACACGAGTGTCTCAAGGACGAAAACAATGAGATGAAGATATGTAATGAAAAGATGTTCACGAATTTCCGGAAGACAAATTCAGTCTTATATAAACATAGGGAATCAATACCGACTTAGATTTCGTGCCTAATGCAAGTCTGCCGAACCAAGGAACCCTTTGGGTTACACACACCACTACCAATTTCCAGGGCCTAGTGCAGTAGGTATCCTATCTTCGCCCCCTCTTTGGAGCTGATATCGGAGTAGAAACGCCATCTTCCCTTCATACCCGTAAGTGATATCAAGGTCAGCTGGTACAGATCATGCAGTGATAGGATATATGCCCAGCAAGTAATAATGAAGGGGGGTGAAGTAAGTGGAAATCTCCTTCTGTTTCCTGTCCGAGTGCATATGCACTCTGCAATATGATGATTCAGGATCATGACAGCAAAGTACCCAACCTGTCCACTATCGTGGAAAATGCCAATTGGTGTCATCTCACCGCCACTCCGAACATGGATGCCTGTTCTCCCAAAGATGTATGGAAGGTAAAAGACAAATATCTGTTCCTTTTATAGGTCTCATCCAACCTCAAAGTCCATGCAGTTCCTTTGAAGTCTGTACGAAGCCCAAAATCTCAAAGCCAACCTGCCCAACACTGCCCAACTTGTCCATTCTAACCTTAGTCTTAACTTCGCAACCATGGCCACCGTCCACCAACCAACCATCACTGAAACCGCCGATGGCATAGCCGTCGCAACATGCGTGCCTATCGCCCACGGCTACACCTTCGAACCCGAAGTGTTCTCAACCAGCAGTAAAGCCATCGCGGGCATGTATCGCGCCCAAGGTCGCTGTCTGTGTCTTGTAGACACCAACGTCTACAAACTCCTCGACACTAAGATTGAAGAATACTTCAAACACCACAGCATTCGCGCCGTGGTTCGCTCCGTCGATGTCACCGAAGAGCGCAAAGATCTCGAGAAGCTTTCTGAAGTCTGTAAGATGTTTGTGGAATATGACTTATTTCGCCGCGAACCAGTGCTTGTTGTTGGCGGGGGTTTGATGACTGATGTTCTGGGGTAAGATTAGCCCCGTATTCCTGGTACCTCTCTAAAACCGGTTCAGATTCGCATGCGCCGTCTTTCGGCGCGGAACACCCTATATTCGCGTTCCAACTACCTTGATCGGCCTCATTGACGCATCTGTGTCAAACCGTGTCGCCGTAAACTGGAACGGACTCAAGAATCGTCTCGGCGGCTACCATGAGCCCGTGCACACCATCATTGACTACACGTTTCTCAAGTACCTGCCGGCTGCTGAGATACGCAATGGACTTGCTGAGATCTTGAAGATAACTAGCTGTGTAGATTTGAAGACGTTCAGAGCGGTGCAGGCCTATGGGCTGGATTTGATTGCAACCAAGTTCTTCCTTACGAATGGGTTCAGGCAGGAACAGGCTGCGCTGAGTAATGAGATTATTCGGGCTGGTGAATTCATCTTCTACGCATATGTACTAGAGACGAAAATTACTAACTTTCGAGCAGCCATCATCGACGTCCTTCGGGAGGAAGTTCCCAACTGCCGTGAGGCTAATCTCGACCGCGTCATGTTCTTCGGGCACACCTGGTCACCGGTTCTTGAACTCGCACCCAAGCCAGTACTCCTCCACGGCCACGCGATTTCCGTAGATATGTGCTACTCCATCAGCATCTCGCAAGTTCTCGGGCACATTGACGAGGAGCACGCAAACGAGTTCCTCAAAGTCTTCTCCGATCTCGGACTTGCACTTGACCATCCGGCCTTTACTGAGGAGCTGATGCTGAAGGCGACTGCTTCTACAATTGCGACGCGTGATGGTAAGTTGCGTGCTCCGATTCCGACGGGGAAGCTAGGAGAGTATGAGATCTTGGCCAATGTGAGCGAGGATGTGCTAAAGAAGGCCTGGGCGCTGCACAAGGAGAGGGTCAAAGAGTTCCCCCGTGAAGGGTTGGGCATTGACCCGAACACCTCGGTTAGATCTTGATAGATACGTACGGATAATTACTGGAGAGGAATGAGATGTGGTCAGGCGAATCAAAGCCTAGGAAACAACAAGTGAAGCTGTTAGCAGATTGACTAGACACTTTCCTATCTAAAATGGAGCTTTCATTCCTTCACACCTGTTGGCGTCATTGAATTTGCTAGTAAATCAACACGCTCATGGTCATAGACATGGGGGCGTGTTTGCCATGATTGATACATGCATGAATGCTGATCAACACGCTCATGGTCATAGACATGGGGGCGTGTTTGCCATGATTGATACATGCATGAATGCTGATCGACGCCTAGCTACAGACTTCACGCCTCCAGGGATATGAGTTCAGACAAGACATGCGGATCGTGCTCCGAGAGCGAAGCACCTCGCGATTTCCGGCTCCGTGGCGTCTCAACAATATGTGCATCCTGCGCTGTAGACATGGGGGTGAACTCAAACACACGAACCTCACAGTTCAGATAGGCAGTTCCTTGCGAAGGTGTCAGACTCCACTATCCATGCTTCTAGGTGATTTGAGATAGAGATAAGGGTAAAGCGTTTACCTCTGACGGGATCATCACCTGCCCAGTCCTCGGTCAGATAGTGCAGAAATGCTCCGTGTGTGACGAGAAGAATCTAAAGTTTAACGATTAGCATGCACTTAAGGACTAACTCCTGCATCGTACCACCGGTAAGACATCAGCCAGCGTAGCAGATAAAATAGGAAAATCGCTGAGGTCGATGGGTCCCATTGCCCAAGCCGTAGCGCTGTCCTTGGAAAACTGGCAACGTGTGGTACAGAGCGTTGAGAGAAATTTTGCACTCACATGAGCTTCAGAACGCCGGAATAGCCAGCTCCTTAGGTCAGCGGCACGCTGTGTAATCTTGGATTTGCAAGGAGCCCAGTATCCGCTCTATGATACACCTGTGAGTGATCCGTGATGCGCCGCACTTGAAAGTCAAAACATGCCTTGACGTTCCAGCCCTCTTCAACGGCGTCGAAGTTGATCTTGCTCAAATCAAACTGCAGGGAATTGCCAGCAAAGAGCTCAGAAAGATTCTCACTAAGCTCCTGCTTCGAATGGCCAATGTCGCAGGTGAGGCCGCTCACTTCTTGGGCCTTCGGGATGACTAAATAGGGTACCTCCTTACGTGATAGCGTCGGACCAAAGGTTAGTACGGTAGTCTGGATCGCCCGACGGAGAGGCGACGACAAGACGAGGTTGATGGTGTCATGGTAGGCGAATGAGTCTTGCAGTTCCCGACACTGGCGCTTGCCTTCTTCGGTCAGAGTAGCATCCTTGATGTGAACAGCGTGCTGCCCGCATCAGCATATTCCATGATAGTGGTCAAGGACACGGTCGGGAAATCTCACATTTACATTATGTTGGCCTTCTGCATGTCGAACCAGGTAGAGGAGGGGAGCCATGATGCGAGAGGGGATTGTCGGATGTGTGGGGTAAGAGGCGAAGGAATGACTCCTACGCCGCTGTGAGCCTTTGTATCAAAACGGCTGCACCGCTATGAACTACTGTACTAGGAAGCCGCTTTCGGCTTCGCGGGAACCTCCACGCTAGTTCCTTCGAAAGGGAGCAAGGGCCGGCGTTTGACCCAATTGAGCCGTGACTTCGAACCACGCCCCCACGACGAGGGAATAGGAGCTGACGACAAGCTAAGAGCGTGACCAGTGAGAGTGCTTATGGTGGACTGTTTTTTATCCATTGCGCGGACCTAACTTTTAATAGCCGGCAAAGTTGCCATTTTTGAAGTTGGGTGAACACATGTTGCAGATGCACGATATTGGAAGGTAACCCGAGACTACCCCAAATTCTGGATTTCGACAGAAGCAATATTGCTTACCAATGCTTGTAACATCCAGAATTTCCCGAGGCTGGGTGTCACGAGCGCTGACATGACATTTCGCGAACGTCAACAAAATAGGATACCAATTCGCACGACCTCAGACCTGCACTACCAACCAACTGCGGAAAGGAAGAGAATTTAGCTTCACGAATCTACACCACATCCCTTCTCCAAACTTTGAGCGGCAACTTGACAGGCCACAAATTGAAATATTCCTCGAATTCCATCTCCCAGTTCGGACCAGGCAGCGCGAATTCGTATCTCTTGACCAGGGTAGCCAAAAAAACCGTTTGCACCACGATGGTGATGTTCCTACCAATGCATGCCCTTGTACCCAAGCTGAACGGGATGAAGACAGCACGCATTTCCTTGAGCTTATCTTCACCCCTGATTAGCCATCTCTCTGGCCGGAACGACTCGGGGTCTTCAAAAAGGTCCGGGTCGCGATGCGCAGAATACGCTGAGATGGAGACGGTCGTGTTCCTAGGCACCATCTCAGTGTCAACTTTGAGGCCTTCAGGCGGCGTCTTGCGGAGAAGATCAGTAGCTACGGGTGGCGATAGTCGCATTGATTCATCGATGCAGGCTTTGAGATACTCAAGACTCCTGACTTTCGACCAAGGAGCAATATGGTCGGAAGGACTGAGCGCGTTGTCGATCTCCTCGCGCAGTCTGCCCAGTGTTACTGGGTTTTTGACGAGATAATAGAGTGTACTACAAAGGGAGATGGCGGGACCATCTCCACCACCATTGACTAGGAATTGTTAAGCCTGCATCTGAAACAGAGTCCTAGGATGAAGGGAACATCATACTCATCTGGTCAACTTCGGCAATTCGGTCTTGGTCATTGATGTCTGGATCGTCGCCTCTCCTCCCGACCATCATCGGCTGAAACAGATCATCTAGAACTTCACCATTCTTGAATCTCTCCATTCTTTCTCGGGTAATTTCAGTAACTGCCTTTCTCCAGTCGGTGGCTTGTTCCAAATGCTTGGCGTATTTCGTCGACAGTCTCTTGGCTATACTCTGATACAACCGGAACCTCTGCGTATCCCAGACCAACACTGCTGCCGCCCTCGACCCGGCATGGAGACACTGCACAGCGCTGATTTTCTTGGTTATTCCATCCGCGTTGGCAATCTCGACCAAGTCATTGCCTGCCTCGAGCCATCGCATATCCTTGCTCATCCCTATCTTGATGACCACTTCAAATGTGAAGAGGTTACTCCAGTGCATCGCCTCAAAACTCAGCTCGTTTGGGTCCACCTCTTGACCATGCTTTAGTGGGCTTGTACAACGACGGTCCATCTGCGTCAGCAGATGAGCCATGGACTCCACAATACTCTTCTCCCACTTCTCGCTGTGGCGGGGAGCGTAGGCAGCGGCAACCATGCGGCGGCGTGCTGAATGTTTACTCTTGTCGCTGATATTAACTAAATGCCTGCCGCCGCCCGAAAGTGAGTCGTATATGGCCGCTTTCGAGCAGGATGACGTGTAGCCGTAAATGTCTTTGGCGGCTTGTGCTTTCCCGAATGAAAGCCAATTGGGACCAACCCGCACGACAGGATGCTCCTCGTGAGCCTCGTGGAGTCGGCGGGAGTGAATATGTTTATGGCTTCGGGCAACCTCCCAACAGTACCCAAGATAGGAGATGCCCGACATCCAATTCTGGGTTGGATATTTGCGGAAACCCTTTGGGTCGCGAAGATAGTGCAATATGGGTGGTAAGACAATTGAGAGCGTCACAAAAACGAGCAGCGGAGCAAGAAGCCCGATCATGATTGAGAGTGCTGGAGTGGAAGTGCTCGAAGTAGAGGAAGTACTGGATAACTTCAAAGAGTCGAACCTAGAACGGGTGTTATCTTTGAGCATCTCACAACCTGGGACTCTTGATATATCCCTCTTGTTGTTATCGTCTGGCGGTGGGAGTGCCGGTGTCGCTCGGAATTTGCTGCATTGTTGTCGGTATTAGTGATTGATTTGACAGCACTGGTCCCTGGTTGGGAATCAGGCCGACACAGTGGATGCTGGAAAATTCCTTAGGTGGGTCCACGGTGAGTCAGGAGAGAAGGAGGATTGTGCGAGATGAGGTGTGTTTTGGGAAACGTCAGCCCCGGACGTCTCAGCGGCTGGTCGCTTCTCATGTTGGAGAAAGCGGACCCACCACTCAACCGCTATCACGACCATTGTTCGTACTAGGGCCGTGCTCACTCCTTTTCTTCGGCTTTTTTCCTTCGACGGATGCTGACGGAACGGTAACGGCGCACGGATCGCACCTGTCTGATAAAAACCAGCGAAGTCATGTTTGCACAAGGCGAGCCAACGAATCGACCAACCTCAACCTCAACCTCGATATGCATGCACTCACCGACTTCAGATGGCCCTCCCAGTACATTGTTTCAAGCATCCTCTGCTCCTTTGGCGGCTTCCTCTTCGGGTAGGTCTTATATCCGAGACGCAAGCCACGCTAGCTGATAAGTTGCATAGCATGGACACATCGATTATCGGCCCTGTCACGGTCATGGATAGGTACATGGCCGACTTTGGTACCGCTTCTGCAACTGTCCATGGCCTGGTCGTCTCCTCGATATTGATCCCTGCAGCCATCTCATCCTTCTTTGCAGGTCGAGTGGCTGATGCTGTCGGGCGTCCGAAAGGCATTAGCATTGGCGGCCTCATCTTCGGTCTTGGTGCAGCGCTGGAAGCTGGTGCTGTGCATTTGGCCATGTTTGTTGTGGGTCGAGTGGTCGAAGGCGTCGGCGAAGGCATATTCTTGGGAAATTTGGTCGTGTAAGTCAAGTTACATGTTGAGAGGCATCGGTCGAGGAGTCGCCTGACCTTGTGCAGCTACATTTGCGAGATTGCACCACCTCGCCGGCGAGGACCTCTGACATCCGGTCCTCAACTACTGAACACTGTTGGCCTTGTTGTGGGCTTCTTTACCTGTTATGGCTCACGTAACATAAACTCGTCACTGGCATGGCGCCTTCCGTTTGCGCTTCTCGCTGCATTTTCCTTCCTCTTCGCAGCTGTCTCACTGCTTTGGCTTCCCGAGTCCCCAAGATGGCTCGTCCTTTGTCATCGGGAGGCCGAGGCAGCCAGGGCATGGGATGTCCTCGGAGTGGAGAGCGCAGATCGCGAGAAGTCCCACCATGGACATGAGAATGCAGTTACTGTTGCCGCCAACTTAAACGACTCAACCGAACAACTTGGGAACCCAGTAACTTCGCTATCTGCGCCAGTCAAAAACAAGTCTAGCTTACTGGATGCGTTTGCCCCGGATGTTCGGGCTCGGACGATGCTTAGTGTTTTTATCTTGGGCATGCAGCAGATGAGTGGTATTGATGGAATTCTCTACGTAAGTTCATCATCGTGAGGGGCCAGATCTAAGCTTACCACTCTGCAGTATGCTCCGTTACTTTTCGAACGAGCCGGACTCACTTCCTCTAGTGCCTCCTTCCTAGCATCAGGTGTATCCGCAATCGTTATTCTCAGTGTCACAATCCCAGCGCTCATCTGGGCCGACAAATGGGGTCGCCGTCAGAGTACCATCTATGGTGGACTAGGATTGAGCGTCATCATGTTTCTGATGGGCGGCCTCTATGCAGGTAACGCGGTGCATGACAGCTATGGTGCCGGCCGATGGGTCGTCGTCGTCTCGATCTATCTCTTTGCGGTTGTCTTCTGTATTTCATGGGCAGTCGGCATCAAAATCTACGTTGCTGAAAGCCAGCCACAGCGTACGCGTGCGAGTGCAACTAGTTTGGCCCATGGAAGCAATTGGATCGCCAATTTTCTAGTCGCCCTCACGACGCCCATACTTCTAGATCGCAGCACTTTTGGCGCATACTTCCTCTTCGGCGGCTGCACTTTGCTTACCGCTGTGGTGTGTCTGATTTGGATGCCAGAGACTAAGGGCAAATCGTTGGATGAGATTGAGGCGGCATTTTCACATAAAGCGCCCGGAACGAGAACCTTTTTCAGGTCTATTCGAAGACTTCTAAGGGGGTTACAGGGTGGGAGGGATCAGTGAGGTTGGCTATCGAGGACGTGTTAGCCTTTGGTCTTACGGAGGACGTGGCCTAGCTCTCATGCAAACGGGAAAGCGGGACATAAGCGATATCGCTTGGCGTCACAAAACAGTGTATTCTACACTAAAACATGACGTAATAATATACCCAGAAAAATTGTAAATCTAGGAGGTAAAGTGTGATGAGAAAAAATGATATATTGATGATGAGGATGTCTGGACCTTCGGTCCGGGAGGCTATAAGGTATATATAGATATAAGACGCCAACTTCACGCTTGATAGGCTAGCTCTGGAGAGGCCTCAGGCTTACACACACCCGCAGCTTCCAATTGGTGTACATTCTGTAGAAGCTCAGTGGTCGGACTAATCCAGTGTATCCCTCCTAAACCATCGTTTTCCAATGATTTAGTGAAGTCACCCAGAGGTAGGTATGCCTAGCTCATTGCAGATGTCCATCCTGGTGCTTCTTTAGCATATGCATGTGTGAGGCTTTAAATTTGTGCGGCTTTGCTTCGCGAGACATCGAATTTGCGAGACTTTGAATCTGTGAGACTTTGGATTTGTGAAGCTTGAAGCCTTTTGTGAGCTTTTCTTATGATCTCTTGTGGGCTTTTCTTTTGTCTGTTGTAAAGTTTCTCACTTTGTATGTGAACGTTGGTGAAGCTTTCCGTTTGTATCCTATATAACCCTCTTTGAACATTGCACTCTCTGCCTAATCTCCCTTAAGCCACCTGAGTGCTTAGAAATTTTTCAAAATGTAGTTGTGAAACCCAGTTCTCGGGTCGCTGTCGAGGCAGTAGATTGTTCGGCACAGTACGATTTGCATCTTTCCATTCCTGCATTCAATTCTCTAAAAAAGATTTTTTCCAGTTTCACCTTCAGCAAGAATGGCATATATGCCACCTAGTTGCATAAAATTAGGCTAACGTTTTAGCATCAACTAAGTGGTGACTCACCGTATTCAGGCCTCGGAGCTAATCTAAACTGATGTTTGTGTATGAGCGGTTCTCTTCTGAACTCTGCATCCGAAAGCTAGTGCTGAACACCATATCACCTATGATATCTAAAGTCAAGTGTACAACGAGCTCCGATAGGTTACAAGGACGCGCACAAGCTATATCCGCGTTTAGTGCTTCTGGTAAGCTGTCTGAGCCGAGAACAGACGGCGACCGATGCGTTTTCAGGATCTTGCAAAAGCCGCGCGTATTCCTAAGCACAATTTCTTCCATGTCTCTACTCGCACTATCTGAGAACGCATTTGGAGAATTCCCCTCCGTTGGGAGTGGGTTTTATGATCTAATATTGTCGCGGTACTTGGAGCGCCAAACAATTATTCCCAGATCATGTACCAGTCTGCTTTCCAGGTATTCGCTCCAGGGCTATAGATGGGTTGGGAGCAAAGCGAACAACTGGGCCATATTGTTGGTGCATGGGATAGAGCTGAGACGGGCCATCACCTTCCCATGAATTGTAGACGTTGGACCAGTCCGTCACCGCCGAAAGACAGGGCCCAGGATACTTGGACAAGGGGTGGAGCCTCAGTCGGTAGAGGATCAGGAAACTGGGCTGCAAACGTCAGCTTGTGCATCAGTGACTAGTAGAAGGGTATCACTACGTAGGAGACGATTAATATCGCAATAGAGGCTAGCATCTTGTATGTTACCGTAAATTTATTGAAAGCGCAAAGGAAAGTTAAGCAATATGCGATAATAAATGGGCCTGAGGAAAGGTGGGTGAAGCAGAAGCGGATGCAGGAACTCCCACCTGAACCGGAAGCCCACAGAGAGTAGTCGAAGCCCATCGGAAGAGCCTGGGTTATTTTATGCACTCCTAATTGACATGGAAGCGCGCGTAGAGTAGGGATCAATCCTTCCATGAGCGTGCAGGGTCGTTTAATCAAGTTGAAGTCCGAGACCACTAAAGCTCAGCTGGGGTCGTTTCTGTGGTCCATGAGAAGCATCATGTTAAGTGGTTGCAGGGGTAGTATCAATCCGGAGATGCAAAAATCCCGAGTGAGATGTACGTGGTCCAAGGTTGGCTGCAGACACATTTGGGAGAAGTCAATGACCACGTATATTACCCAAGCAAACTTATAAACAAGGCTTCGGGAGTACACTAATTTCGAGGACACAAAGAAAAAGCATCTGAAATGGCTCCGGACAAATCCGATGATAAAATGAGAGATCCTGCAGAGACTCTCGAGGGAACAAGAGCTTCATGTAGCTGGCCGAAACAAGTATGGTCCCTCGTCGACCTTGATATTATGAAGTGGACTATGAGTGGTGACGGTATCTGTGCACATTTTCTGATTCTCCTCTTCGGATTGTTGATAGCTGGAAAATTATTCGGAAATTCGGACAGTTAGAGAAGAAAGTCGAAGATCCCTTAGAGTTTCTATACAAATACTCGCACAGCAAGACAACGGTTAGAGCACGTTCACCTTTGCAAACAGGACGATGTATATTCAACTATTAGTGACTTCAAGATTGTGAAGGGTATGATAGAAGCTATCGAACGTTAAAAAAACACATCTTTGGCTCTTCAAAATTTGATAATAGTCGTTCCAGGTAGGAGGTTGGGAAAATTTGGAGTTTATACGCTCACCAGGACGACTATGGAGCATAGTATTGTGAAATTTGCAATTCCACCTGTGCGCGATCCAAAATCTGCCAGTGATAGTCGCATACACAGGTGCTCGATATATTGTTTGCAAACACTGGTATCTCGTAACTAGTGGAAATGAATATGAAGGTGAAGAGGCTGATTCCTGATTGCCATTTCCGTAAACAAATCCCTCAATGCCTGACTTCTCCAATCTTCCTCCTCAATCTCAGGCTCCTCGCTCTGGCTTCTCTCCACCACCTCCTCGCTTCCACTTTCCTCGCCAACCTCGTGTCGGATCCCCTCATCAAAGCTCTCACTCAAGGCTCTTGTTCTCGCCTCCTCTCTCCTAGAACCGATTCCACCCGTAGCAAGGTGGCGGAAATGGATGTGGGTGCCATCAGTGTGACTAGAGTCATTGGTATGGCCGGAGCCATTAGTGTGGCCGAAGCCATTAGTCTCCCTGGGGCCGTGGTTTTGCGTATTCTCGGGCCGCATTTCTTAAAAGCGTGTATTGGTTTGAAATGAAATTTGTGGGTATACAAATATCAGATCTTGGTATGTTATTGTCATAGATATGGGATGTCTGAGTTTGAATAACAAAGAAAGGACATAGACTGAGTGGTATTCTTATGTTATAGCGTTGGCACTTCAGAGAGAATGGCGGGAAGATTGACATTCACGTGGGCAAATTCACTCTTTTACGTTCGCTGATTATTGACATACTACGAGGTTGCGAAGGAATGATTGGACGCAGTGTTGGATGCGGACCAAAACTTCTCTCCAGTTTCACAGGAAAGACAGCTTATGCTGCTACGAAGGCCGCACGTATACTAAATCGATATGTGAAATTCAAACTCCCATGATGAAATATTGCCTTAAGATACTTAAGCTGGCATTCATCACAATTAGGGGTAGGTCATCTCATCCTCTCGAAGTGGTGCGGCGTAGCCCGGACACTAAACGACCTTCTTCTCATTATCACATTAACCCCTTCTCCATCAAAGCCTTCAGGGCCATAATTACCCTCTCCCTTCCCATCCCACTACACTTATTCTCCTTTCTAAGCAATTCTCACACTTGGATCCATGAGCCTTCACAGAAGAGATATTGTCCGGGTTGTAATGCTCGTGGATAGGATGGTCGCCTTTGTGTTGCACGTGTCTCACGCGATACTATACCCATGTACTGCGCTATTCACTTATTAGGACTAGTTCCTTTTTCGTACAGTATATAGTCAGCCTAGAGCTCTCTCTCGCTCCTTAGCCCCTTACAATGCACTAGTTTATTTCACCTTATTTAGATCTCAATACCTTGTCGACTCGCCTACCCTATGACCCCTTCTCAGCTCATGCGAGACTTTGTAGTAGTTGTTGTTGCGAGAGTCGCAGGCAGGGACTTTGATGGTATGGCCGTAGCCCTGGAGGAAATAGGTGTCCGTGCGCGTTTAAGAAGGGTTCTTTTTTGAGGGTAGAAGAAGTAAGGAAACTAGGATTTATGTAGGTGGTATTCGTAGCCATGTAGGCTCAATGCATGCTAACGGTGGGATTACACTTCGACATATAACCAGAGTCTCAAAGTTTCCCACGTTCTGTAGGTTCTGGAGTATATTCTTGGTTGTTCTGATTCGAGTTCGGGTAGGTTTCTGATCATGTGGAAGAATTTTGAAGGGGTAGTGCTACACATATCTTAGCCCAAGACATCTTGAATTAGACTGTACGGTAGGAGTAGTAATTTCATAACAAGCCATTACTTAGTAAACCTAAAGAAAAGCAGTGAATATTAGGATGGAAAATTTTCACCCCAGCGGTCCCACAATTTCCAATAACCTGCGTCCAATACGTCTCCTAAATTTGTCACATCCTGCAGACAACCAGACCCCCTCCCTCTCCCCGTAAAATGTCAGTTACATGATAACACACCCACAAAGCTCTTGCAACAGATCCGGCCGCTGACGTGGATACCGCCACGCACTAGAAGAATGTCTCGAATAGTGAGATCTTCGAGCATATCTCGGATCATTTGGACACCCCCTACAACACACTCTCCCTCCGTATACGAATTTATCCCTCAGCTTTCTACAGTTGTAGCCACATGACCAGGCAGTGATTCTTTCATGCTTGCAGTCGAAATCTTCGTGGATGTAGTAGCACATATTGGGGTTGTTGTGCTGGGGTATGGTGTGGAAAGTCGATATGGAGGGCCGAAGCCACTGAGAATGATCGGTGATGCGGAGGTTTTTATGAAGTCTTTGGGAATTCGAACTATGATAATGGATGAGTTAGGGAAGGAAAAGAGGGATATATATATGAGAATAATTTTCACATAGTTGTGAAGTATGGTGTCGCGTAGAAAGTGTGTCAATGCGAACTGTTGGTACTCCGCGGCCTCTGTGAATTCCATGGTATTGGAAGTGTTGAAGATAGGCGTATTCCATGATTTACTGAGAAAATGAAGAACGGTTCGCGTTACGAAAATCTTGGAATCAACGCCTGTTGTCATTTTGGTGAAGAGGAAAAAACACGATAGGATTTGTGAATAAACTGAGAGAAGTGCTGACACAGGGGAATACCCTGTAAGGGACTAGTTCAGCATTCTAGGAGTTTTCAAGTAGAAAATAATGCATTCTGATCCTCGTCTCCTCATTCGTGAACCTAATCTCCAATACTTATTCTCCCCAATCCCAATAGACTACCGGACGGCCTATCTCACATGAGCTGAGAAGGGGTCATAGGGTAGGCGAGTCAACAAAGTATTGAGATCTAAATAAGGTGAATTAAACTAGTGCATTGTAAGGGCTAAGGAGCGAGAGAGAGCTCTAGGCTGACTATATACTGTAAGAAAAAGGAGCTAGTCCTAATAAGTACATAACGCAGTACATGGGTACAGTATCGCGTGAGACACGTGCGACAGCTTACTCCCTCTCATTAATTCCCTTCTCACTACCGCTTCCCCCCGCGCCGCCTCCCTTCTTCCCTAATCAATTTCTATTCCTTATTATTTCTCTTCATTAATTCTGTCCCATGGGAGCCTCGTAATCCAACCGGCTCCGTGGATCGCACCCCAAAATTTACAATCATACGACTTGAAACTGAAGGTTCAGAACTCCGTCTTCGCGTACAGACAACATTGTTTTGTATATTTTACGTGTTCGCAAGGATGGGTGAATTCATTTAGGTAGGGGATGGTGGCGCTGTAGTTGCAGGCGAGGAGGAGGATGGGTTAGAGTCAAGTCGCGACCTCGGCTCCCTGGCGGGTGCAATGTGGATTGACCGTCCCGTGAGGGGCCACACTCCCTCTCTGGATGATTGCTGGCCTATATCTTAGTTCTCGAACGTCTCAACTCTTGACTTTGATATGGTGCAGAAGAGGGCTCGAAGAAGGCAAAGGTAGAGAGACGGAGTTACAATGAGCTCTAGAAGAGCCGCTGGGTTGCCCAAACCACACAATCTTGCGTTCATCCCCAAGGTACAAAGGATGAGCTCACATTGGATGTGGAGTGGCTAGCCATCTCAATCCTGTGGCGGTGTCGAGTCTGTCGACAACACCGATCAACTGAAACGCCTTACTATGTGCCTAACCGCACGAAAGTCTGTGTCGCATTGGTCTGCGCTGACATCGCATGGAGTCATCACCAGACGAAAGTCCATTGAGTCATTCTCGAAGGCCAGGATTGTTGCATGGGTTGTGCAGCAAAGCAGACCTCAATGAAAGATAGTGACTGGTTCTTAATCCTTTGAGCTTGTTTGCTGGAAGTGAATGTAATTGAAGCAAAGGGCATTAATTGCGGTAGACGGCGGCAAGGGGAATGAGGCCATCCTCTTTACGCGTCGAGGATCATGTCACCGACTGCAAGCCTTTCCGGTAGCTCCACCACGGGTGATAAGTCTGCTGTTTTCTTACTACTGTTGCTGCTACTAGTGTGCTTCATCTGAGATCTTTCTTCGTGCCATCTATAGATGCTTCCACATCCGTACGCCACATAAACACCATAGACCAGCTGTCACTTCAGATATACCCTGACTTATCTTGTATTTGGCTTTCACGGCCGACAGAGCTAATTGCCTCGTCAAGTGTTACTAGCCCTCATTTCGACTTGCTTCTTACATGTAGTTTCCATATGTTAAGTATGAATAGTTAAATAATATGTTTAAAAGGCGAGTAGTGGACTACATAGAATAGGCTGCTAAATGTAATAGAAGCCCGCATTAAACGAGAGCGGTAAAGGGCTGTATAGTATAATAAGGTGCGAGTAAAGACGGCGAGCTGATAAAGCGAGAGCGAGCGCGCGCGTTAGGCTTATCTAAGTACAAACAAAGCGAGATTCTAGCGAGGCGGGCATAGAGGAGGAAGCGTCGATAATATATCGACAGGATGGATGTGGGTTTATTTTGGGTTTTTCTAGTTATTGCTCATTCCAGAATCCAGAAAGCATGAGACAAGATAAGATGGAGCCGGTGCGGAACTAGGTAAGAAAAACTGACCAAAAGAGGGGACAAAAAACCTCCATAAAAAGGAGTCAAAAGCCCCCCGACATAGAGGTACTATTCTAAACTTGGATTGCTTGTTGACATGTCTGTCGAGGGGGGTTGTGATATTGAATATTGGGCTTACGGGGATGTGTGTGACAGGTTGACTATGTTGACAGAGGGCGTTGGCAAAGACCGCATGACAGCGAATTATGGTATAGCTTTACCGACCGACACAGCACATCCCCTTCACAAATCGAAATCTCTCGTACAGTACCATGACCTCCTGAACCATGCCCCCTCGGCCGGAACCTTCATGGGGAAATACCTCTGATATATCTCGCTTTTGATCTACTCTCCCGTCATCGTTACCTCCACTGCTACCTTTGGTACGACAACCCTAGTCTTGCAGGCATCACGGGTCGCCTAAAATCCGGCGTAAACCCGTAGAACGTACAGTACTAGCTGGTGGTCTTCGCTGTGCCGCAAATTGTGATTGTGTAGTCTTGGGTTTGGGATGAGACAACTGAGTGGCTGCAGAGGTGGAGGAAGGGTTACAGATGCACATTTCAACTGCTTTTGACGTTTTTGTTGATATGGATGCTTGCTGGAAGAACTTTTAAGAAAGATTGGATAGACGGGGGAGTACACAGGACTAATGCTCCTGGGCGGTTGGGGACATTTGGCAAGAACTCCCCGTGAGTTCTGTGCTGGAGTCTGAAAAAATTTAAATTTAAGAGATCCACCGACATTCACAAATTATTCTCGAAAGAGATAGGGTGGGAGAAGGAAGAGATTCAACCTCAAGCCTAAAATAAAAATATATTAACTAAGTAAAAAAGAAAACACATCTAGTAGCTTAGTCCCCTGTTATCCAATTTTGAGAAACAGCAGCCCGTCATGAATACCGCCCGTTGGAGGCTCTTCCAAACCATCATACCAAGCATCCAAATCGTCCTCGTAATTAGGATCAGGAGCTCCTCCGAGGTTATCTTTATCCTGGGTAAAACTTGTATCGGACACGTGGATGGTGGTTTGGTTTATTGGAATATCTTGAGCACCGGGGGTGCTATTTGACTCAGGCTGCGATGGCGGCGGCGGTGGATTGGTATTGCTGTGCTCTTCGCAGTCCGGGGTAGTGTTAGGAGGCTTGGAGTGGTCTTTGGATGACATAGTGTCTGATGCCAAGGTGGTAGGGGATATTGGGTGGGTATGCAGAGGGGTATGCAATGTTCGGGAGGGAGAGAAAGGAGAGGGTTGATGGTATATAGCTGGCGGTATTCACGAGGAAGGGTTTAAGGATTTACGTGGCTAGAATGAGGGAATTGTTTGCACTGTGATGATGTTTAGGCACTTGTAGATCGCTAGTTGCGTTTGACAGCAGTTATATTTATCATTCAATTACTAGAAATACATCGTCGCTGCAGCCGGTAAGTATTCACGTTGAAGAAAGGGCGCTGCTGGACAAATAACTAGAAGGGGGAGCTTAGTAGGATCCGAAGGGTGCTAGAGACGGCGCAACAAGCCCTACCGTGTGGTTGCTAGATAAATTTCCGCATGCTCTGTAGAAACAGGAAAAGTGCGGCTATTACTGCTTCGAAGATGAATGTTGGTGGGAAAGAGGGGGCGGTGGGAGGACTGAACACGGGTAGCCGAACTGGGAAAGTCACGCCAAGGCTCGCTTCACTAGCGTCTCACCCACGAAGCCATCCTTCCAATATCGCTCTCTGTCGTCGAACTTTTCTGTCAACCTCAGCGACTCCTCTAAGACTCGACATCAGAAGAGATTGACTACCTCACACACTAGCCATGGGTGAGTATCGTCCTTCTGATCGGCTGGCGCGGCCGGCCTGGCTTTCAGATAGCTAAATGCTCCTCAGCTCCCAAAGTCGATCCCAACGAGGTCAAGGTCATCCACCTGCGCGCGACCGGTGGTGAAGTCGGTGCCTCGTCTGCCCTCGCTCCCAAGATTGGTCCTCTGGGTCTTTCGCCGAAGAGTATGTTTCCTCCCGATGCATATCCTGCGCTTGGGTGAATGAGGCGTTGCTAATTATTCGCAGAGGTTGGTGAAGACATCGCCAAAGCTACCGGCGACTGGAAGGGTCTTGTACGTAAAGTCCAACTCCCTATTGAGAATCCCGCTGATATAATCCCAGCGCGTCACGGTCAAGTTGACCATCCAGAACCGTCAAGCCGCCGTCTCAGTCGTCCCCTCCGCATCGTCACTCGTCATTAAGGCCCTCAAGGAGCCCCCGCGAGACCGCAAGAAGGAGAAGAACATAAAGCACACCAAGAGCATTCCCCTCGATGAGATCATCAATATTGCGCGGACAATGAGGTTCAAGTCGATGGCCAAGGATCTCAAGGGCACTGTCAAGGAGGTTCTCGGCACTGCCTTCAGTACGGGCTGCCAGGTCGATGGTCGTAGTCCCAAGGATGTCTCAGATGACATTGAGTCCGGCGAGATTGAGAGTATGTGGACCTGGCTTGTTTTGTTGGGATGGGTGCTAACTGGCCATAGTTCCCGAAGAGTAAATGCTCGCACCGGCGCATTGCAACCGCCATAGTGCGGAGGACTCGGGATATAGAGGGTGCTATATAGCTCAATGAGGATCATGACTTCCACCTTGGCGCTTCGCTGCTTGTCGGGTGGGGCTCGCACGGCTCCGGCGTTTGGGTTGTCGATACTGAAAAGTGACGGAAATCGGCTGGCATTCTGTAAGGGAATAACAAACCTCATCCCACCATCCGCCTCCGAATGCGTGAATTCGATTCGTACATTGCAGAGTATTGCAGTGCTATAATTAAACAAAAGGCCTATTTTGGCCAGGCTTTGAGATTGGATTATCGCACGTGACTCAGCCCTACGAGATTCGTCACTTCCGGCACCGCCGCTGCCCCTGATCGAATGGGAAGTTCTCTTGACAACCCGACAACATGATGCTCACATTCCTCTCGCTCGTGATAGCATGCGTCACAAGCGCTCTGATGAGCTCCCTCGATACGTGAGCGGCAGCAAAAAACCCATATTCGAATGGCCTCGCCGCTCCCGATTGTTCGCAGTTCTGGGCGTGCTCTTCCTATACTGGATCTTCCACTCCACTCGTAAGTCTGCCCTGAACAAGGGCGACAGGAATGGAGGAGTCAATTGGTCGCGGTATGCATACAGTCTATATGCGACGGATAGCGCGACGCTCTGCCACGCAGTTCTAATCTTCGACGCGCTGGCGAAATTCGGCAGTAAGGCCGATCGAGTGCTCTTCTATCCGAAATACTGGGACACGGTGATTACGAACTCGCGGGATAGAGATAGCCAGTTACTCGTCCTAGCGCGAGATACGTACAATGTTAAACTTCAGCCGGTGAAGCTGTTGACGGTTGAAGGGCGGACAACGGGTTTGTCTCACACCTTCCCTCCCCCTCCCCCTCCCTTCCTTCCTTGCGTCCCAGCCCCAGAAAGAAGCCCACGCAAGAACTAATATTGGGTTGGCTCTGTAGATGCATGGACAGGCACCTGGGACAAGTCCGTCACCAAATTCCTTGCTTTCACACTCGCATACTACGACCGGATCATCGCGCTCGACTCCGACATCACGCTCCTCCAATCCCTTGACGAGCTCTTCCATCTCCCATCCACACCGATGGCTATGCCGCGTGCATACTGGTACGACACTAAACCCTGGCCGCTGACATCTCTGCTCATGGTCCTCCAACCCTCGCTAGCCGAGTTCGCGAAATTCGAGGCAATTATCTCAGATGGAGGTGCAGAGGATCTTGTCAAAGCGAATGTATTTGACATGGAGCTCGTCAACGACCGCTTCCGCGACTCCGCACTGATCCTCCCCCATCGACCGTATGCGCTACTAACGGGAGAATTCCGTCGACATAATCACTCCGCCTATCTTGGCAATCTCGACGAAGTGTGGGACGCAGAGAAGGTGTTGACAGAAGCGAAATTCGTGCATTTCAGCGACTGGCCACTGCCCAAACCCTGGATTATGTGGCCGCATGAGGGACTGTCGGAAATGCAGCCGGATTGTGGAGGCGCCAGAGAGGCCAGCTGTGCAGAGCGTCGGATCTGGAAGGGGTTGTATGAGGATTTTAGACAGAGGAGGAAGGATGTTTGTAAGCTGTTGAGCGTGCCGGCACCGGATTGGCGGAGGATCAAGGGAGGGGTTCATCCGATGAATGCTACGGAGGGGACACATCATGAGGCTCCCCAGGTGGAGGGGGCCAAGGAGGAGCAGCGTACGCCCGTAGCTGGACACGATATGTAAGGTACATGGAGTATATCATCTGGTGATGGTGGCGTGAAATGGCTCATATGTAATGTTTGTTGTACACAGCCTTGTGTTATTAGCTTTACGTTCATTTATCTCCTTATCCCACAGCAAGCAAGCAAAGCAAGTAAGTTCAGTCAAGTCAAGTCGCCACAGAACGGAGTGCACGTCCTCTGTATGTCCACCAAGACATCTCCGGTGACCTTATGAAACAGTAATCTGGCTTGAGGCGGCTGCGGGATGATTCTAGGATTCCTTCGCCTTATCCTCCTATTTTCCTTATTCACATTCTCCATATTCCTTCCGGACGCAGTTACACGGCATGCGCAGGATGTCGTTGGTCATATTCTCCGACTATTGCCCCAGGCGGATGGGAGTGCAGTGCTTCTGCTTACTGTTGAGACGAAAGGATGAGCCGCGCCGCAAACGCAAACGCACGGTTTCCTTGTTGTTTTAAACTTTCTTATGAAAGTCCGGATGGAATGTACAGCTTTCTGTCTGATCTAGGAAAGACGGAAGAGCCGCTGTTGAGGCTTCCCTTCCTGCAAGTTAAGTGAAAAGAAGCCGGAAAGAAAAAGTGGTGACACCTGCTAAGGTCCTGAGCTCTGATCATCACGAAAATAGCCAAAGGACGCCAGCCTGCCTGGGCACATGAAGCTGAAGATGAGGTGGCGTTTTGTAAGCGATGACGGGGGGCTGGGGGTGCTGCGGAATAGGCGGCGGTGCATCGAATCTCCGCCGAATCTGCTTTTTGCCTGTCTGTCAACGCTTCCCTGCCTCTTTCGTTTGAAACAAAGTATCACATGATTTGGCAAATGTTTGGTGGATGCATGCGTGATGATTGTTCGTGATGGAAATCATCTTGCTCCGTGCATGGATGCATGGATGCATGCAATTCTACCTGCCTGCATGTAAGGAAGAAAGTTAACACTGGACTCTTTAGTGGAACCTTATTGCGAGGAGAAAGGAACCGGAGGGCAAGTTATTAGGCTGTGTAACCCTCTCATGAAACACTTGGCCCAAGGTGACAGCCGTTTGTTTTAGCGCGTGTGCTCCTGTGGATCATCTGCGCGCCTGCTTGACCCTCCCCGACTTCCGACATGCAGCCCGCCCAGTCAGTCAGCCCAGCCCAGCTGATCCTCATCAAAGGAGGCCGTCATCACGCCCAGCAGCCCAGGTTGCAGCAGTAGGTCAACTTGGCAGAGAGGACGCACGGTGGAGTGGTATTCGTATGCTGGCCTCGCGGGAGTGGTTGCATGCAGACAGCCACAATTGGACACGCGGGGCGATGATGGCTGTGAGTCGTGAAGGATGTGCAGAGGCTCTGGTTGCTGGTGACGGCTGGCCTGCAAAGCTGCAGGGCTGAAGCAGGGAGACAGCCAATCTTGTGGGTTTCAGTGAATGAGATGCCCGGCTTGTGGCGTGCCCACCTGGAAAATCAAGAGGCCTGTTCCCGGCTCCATCCTCGCCGTTTTAAGGAATTAGAGGAAGCGTTCTTGACTGGGCTAACAAGGGCTTTGCTTTAAAATATCACGTCCTCCTTTTTTCGTTTGTCTATGATCGGCCTCCTGCCTTACTCTTCTTCCTCTGATTGTTCGCTTCAACTCAGGCTTCTTTTTCTTCTACTAATTCTCCACCACACTCTTTTGATATCTTAATTTTCCTAGATAGTACAATAGAAGTGGGGGAGAGTAATCGTCACAATGCGCACCTTCATTCCGGCCCTCGTGGTCACCACATCAACTCTCTTCTTCCAATCCGCCTCCGCCGTCGCCGCTAATCCGCTCCCAAAACCATCAAACATCACCTGGGGAACCTCTGGACCCTTCAGCGTAGGCACTCTTTCTCTCAATGCGCCGGACAATTCCGTTCTCAAAGATGCGTTCCACCGTGCCACAAAAGCCATCACCGACCTGAAATGGATTCCCGCTGCCACCGAGGCGCCTCCACGATCGTTTGAGGTGTTCCCCACGCCCACCGTGGCGGCGGCAGCGAAATTGAAGCGCGCGACTAATTCTACTGGTTCTTTGTCGAGCGTGAAGGTAACGGTGGTGGATGTGCATGCGGGACTCCAACATGGTGTCGATGAGAGCTACACCCTCGACATCAAATCCGGATCATCTTCCATTGACATCAAGGCCAAGACCATCTACGGTGCACTCCATGCCTTCACGACCCTCCAACAAATCGTCATCAGCAATGGCAAAGGTGGCCTCATCGTCGAACAGCCTGTTTCCATTTCTGACGCCCCGCTCTACCCCGTCCGAGGCATCATGATCGACTCTGGAAGGAACTACATCTCAAAAGCCAAGATTTACGAGCAAATCGACGGAATGGCCCTGTCAAAGCTAAATGTCCTGCACTGGCACATCGTGGACGCCCAATCCTGGCCCCTGGAATTGGCCACCTATCCTCAAATGACGAAAGATGCTTACTCTGCGCGAGAAACCTACTCGCACCAATGCCTGAAAGACATCATCGCCTATGCCTCCGCCCGCGGCGTTCGTATCATTCCCGAAATCGACATGCCTGGCCACGCCAACTCCGGTTGGAAGCAAATAGACCGATCCATGATGAGCTGCATTGACTCCTGGTGGTCCAATGACGTCTGGCCGTTGCACACCGCCGTAGAGCCCAACCCAGGCCAGCTTGACATCCTCAACAACAAGACCTACGAAGTCACTGGAAAGGTGTATAAAGAGATGGCAGGGATTTTCCCAGACGGTTGGTTCCATGTCGGCGGTGACGAACTGCATATGAATTGCTACAACTTTTCGTCCCTTATTAGCACGTTCTTCGCATCTGGGAAAACCATGGGTGATCTCGTGCAATACTGGGTCGACAAAGCCATTCCTAACTTCCGCGCCCAAGCTAACCGCACGCTGGTTATGTGGGAAGACGTGGTCATCTCCCCGGATGCGGCCGCCTCGGGCACCGTGCCCAAAGATATTGTTCTCCAAGCCTGGAACAATGGACTTGAAAACATCTTCAACCTCACACGCGATGGATATCGCGTCATCGTCTCTTCCTCCGATTTCATGTACCTTGATTGCGGTTTCGGCGGCTGGGTCGGAAATGATCCTCGCTATAACGTCATGGTCAACCCCAACAAAACCGACGGCACCCCGAACTTCAATTATGCCGGTGGTGGAGGATCATGGTGCGCGCCATACAAGACCTGGCAGCGGATTTACGACTACGATTTCACCTCGGGCTTATCCTCTACCCAGAAATCCTTGATCCAAGGCGCGATTGCACCGCTATGGAGCGAACAAGTTGACGACACGGTCATCAGCTCGAAGATGTGGCCGCGAGCAGCAGCCCTTGCTGAGCTCGTTTGGAGCGGGAATAGGGATGCAAATGGGAATAAAAGGACGACGGAGCTTACGCAGAGGATTCTGAATTTCAGGGAGTATCTTGTGGCGAGTGGAGTTGGCGCTGCACCCTTGATGCCGAAGTTTTGCTTGCAGCACCCGCATGAGTGTGATTTGTTTCTTAACCAGACCGCGCTTGGGAAATAGCTCCCTGCGAAAGGGTCTTATCATGGCGTTTTCGGCTTGGGTTCAGATTCCACGGCTCGGGTCTGGGAGATGGGGTTTTTATCGCTGATGATAGTGCTGTCAGTATTTTTGATTGCGTGGGAAGTCTGGAGGTGAAGCGTCGGACTGAAGAATTTGTGTGCCGTTGTTTCATTCTTGTATATATCTTTTAACCCCTATCTCCGAGAGGCTTTCTAGGCCCGATAAATTGCGTTGCATATCCTACATACTCTAAGAGATTACGACTCTGGTTTTGTGTGTTTAATTACTAATTTTTAGTATAACATACTTTACAGGCAAGTTGCTTACACACCTAAGTTACTTACTTTTACTAAGACCCTACTAAACTACTTTTTCTACACTAATGTATTCTTAATAACACTACTTAGACATGCTAAAAGAATGTTAGATATAGCTTATGCTCTAAGCTTTTAAATAAGACATAAAACTCTTAAAGAAACATACTATAGCTATGTATAAAGTCTTTTAAAAGATAATAAATAACTATTGCACTAGATAACCTTTATAAGCTAATTCTATAGCTAACTTATAAAGGCTAGGTAATAATAAAAAGTAGGTAATTATTAAGACTATACTTAAGCTATATATACTATAATTTTTCTTTTAAATAGCATTTATAGCTAATATAGCTAACGTACCTAACAGGTTGGCCGGCTACTTTTGCTAAGCCCTTACTAAAACCACCCTATTCTCTTGCAAAACAGCCTACTTTAGCCCTATATAAAGTAATACAACATAAGATATTATTTAGAGTCTACTTTTACTACTTACTTATATGTATGTAAGTTATGCCTAGTCTAATTACACTACTTATATTACCTTTAACTTAGCTTACTTTTTTTTTAGCGCGCACCTGCGTTTTTAGCTTCTTTTTATTACTACGCGCTTTAAACTCTTTTAAAGTAGTTAAACAAGCTCTATTTTTAACTATTAAAGTCTTTTCTGCCTAAATCTACTTTCTTTTATGCAATTTATGTTATGTAGTAGCTTTATTTACTACTTAAAGCTTTATAATCTTATAGCCTACTTTATTATATTAATGCCTTAGATAACTATTATCTACTTTTTATTACCTTACTATATTACCTTTAGCTGTCTTTATCTTTTTAAAGCTATAATAACTACTCTAGTTAATATATAGCCTATTATAAAGCCTAACTTATTAAAGTTATACATGTTTTTATTTTAAATACTATACTTAGCTTTTATGTTAGCTACTAGGTAAAACTAGCCTTAGATAACCTTTAGATTTTTATAAAGCACTCTCTTATAATTATACTTATAATTAAACTTTATTATAAACTTAAGGCAGTGCTTAACTTGTATACTAGGCTAGTTTAAGCTAACCTAGCCTAGATTACGCTCTGCAGGCAAGGAATTAGCTATATTAGCTATAGTTGTAAGCCTAAAAAGAAATCTGTGTGTAATAAGCTTAAGTATATACTTAACAACAACTTTTTTTTTAAGCTTAGTTAAATTTCTTAATTTAGGCTAGCATTCTGCTTGTAAAGGCTGTCTAGCGTGTTAATTACTTAGTGTTGTGTAAAAGACATTATAGATAGCTATAGTGTGTTATAAGAAGAGTTTTAAGTTTTATTTAAAAGCTTAAAGAGTAAGCTGTATTTAACATTCTTTAGAAGATTTAATCTAGTGTTGTTGTTAAGGCATTATGTAGATAGGTAGAATTTAGTAGAGGCTTGGCAAAAGTAGCCGGCCAACCTATGTGGCCGGCTAACCTGTTAGGTACGTTAATTCTTTACATGCTAAGTATAATCTAGGCTATATTAGCATAAACTAGCCTAGTATATTTATAAAGTGTTATTTATCTAACGATTCTCGTTCCATCTTAGGTCGCCCGGAACCCATCTGAAGGGTCCCTGTATCGGCTTAACCCTGACTCAACCTGGCCCTAACTCTGCCCTGCCCCCTGCTGTTACCCCTATTCCCTTATATATTTAGTCGCACCTCGCTCTGTAGCTAGCTTAGTAGTTTTCTAATATCCTTTTGTACAAGGCCTATAGGTGTTAATAGCATTCTAGGTTTAGAGTCCCCACGCACTCCTATATGCCTCTAAGTGGATTCCTACTGCATTTAGACCTATTGTCTTGCCTGCGCTGTTACATTATATTAAAAAACTTACTTTTGCTAGTAACAGCCTTATTAATAATATTACACTAATTATTTATTTAACTATGTCTAAGCTCTAAAACATGTTTAATTTAGTTTAAGTTATAATACTTACACACTGTTATTAGCGGAGCTTGCTCCGCTCCTTTCTGTAGACTTTAGTTTTCTTTAGTTAGGGCTTAGCAGCTAAGAATTACTGCTTTTAGCCTTTTTAGGCTCACATAAGCATAAAAACAGCAGATCCTTAGATAATTATTTCCTGCGCAAAAACTAAAACCTTGCTGCGCGTGTTGTCTAATACCTATCTAATACCTTCTGCTATAACCTATAACATAGTACCTCTGCTATTTAACGCTAATAAACCTCCCCTACTTTATAATAATTATTATCACTCTATAGATCTACAGAGAGACAGGACGTTCCTCTAATAGAAGGTTTAATGTGCGCCCTGCAATACACAAATCTAGGCAAGGAAGCGCCCTACCTAGGGCAGCCCTATACCTCTACTACTAGCTAAGAGGCGCGCTCTTGCTAATATTACATATGTTACAAATAATAGACTACAACCCTATATCCTACTATTGTCTCCTCTAGTACCCCTATGTTGTTATTGTTCTACGCTATTAGACTAGGCAAATAACATGTTTAAAAAAAATAGCAAGTAAAAGACTTTATATTAAAAGTGTTACTAATTAAAAAGTAAAGTTAATATTTATACTATAAATAAGAAACTAGCACATGTATTGCCTTTTATAAACTTTAGCCTATTAAGCTCTCTTCTTTGCAACATTTCTATATAATAGACGCCTTAATAATTTCTTTAATATAAAATTTTTAGCCTATTAAGCAACCTCTTTAATATACTACTTATGCTATTTACTTTAATTAGTTTAAGTACATAATGTACCTAAGAGCTACTATTAACATAAAGAAGGTTTTAGTCTACACCCTCTTAGTTGTAGAGAGCAGGTACAAATAAAAACAACTTTAGCAACAGTTTAGATAAGAACATTAATGTAAATATCTTTCTAGACGCTAAGCGCTGTGTGTATAATTTTCTATCTGCGCTTATACCTATAAATTTTAATAATATTAAATTCCTTAAAGACTAGGCTATACTAAAAGTTAATAAGGGCTATATTAACAACTTTTATAAAGGTCTACTTAATATTAAGTTAGATACATGCACTACTTATAATTAAAAGTAGTTTAACATAGGATTAAATTAACAGAGTACTTGTAAAAAGTGCGCTACTAATTTGCTTAAATATAAACATAAAAAGAAATTTATTCTACTTTAAAAAGATATAAATAACTTTAATCCTAGCCTTTTACTAAACTTTTTTAAGTTAACTACTACTAAAGAGTAACTACTAGCACGCGTACACATTAATATAATAAACCTCTCTACTAGAGTAAGTAGGCACTTTGCGCATTGTAAACAACTACTAAGTCTTTTATTATAACTTTAATAAAATGTAAGTGCTAATGTATTAGTATTAAATAAGGTATTAGACTTATTAATTTATAAGCACTTAGCTAGCTGCTATCTATGGCAAGCGCATTACTATCTAGGCTTAAGATGTGCAGCTTGTTATTTGCATTACTTAGAATTTTAGCTAGTACTTTAACTTTACTAATAAGTACTTGCGTAGATAGACCTACTAAGAGGTGTTTTCTTGCATAGTATTTATAAGTATATAGGTCTTTGCGTGGAATTTATAGGAATATAGTTTATAGGTTTTAGTCTACAGACTACCTTTTATTATCTGCTCTGCTTATAGTCTTCTTCTATAGGCTTCTTCTAATGCAGTCTTCTTCTTTAGAAAGAGTTTAATAAGTGACTTAAAACAAGCTCCGCTTATGCATTTATTTATAAACTGTTATAGTATGTTATTAAACTATTTAGTCTATAGACTAGATTCTATTAACCTTTAGTTAACTAAAGCCTTTAGGTTTAGAACTTCCTATCCCCTGTAATTAAGATTACCTTTAAAAAAGTTGCAAAAAGTGCGCTAAAGTAGAAACCTAAAGACTACTAATAACTTATTAGAATTAAAGGTAACTGCTAATGTCTAACTAACTACCCCCTAATTCTAAATTTAAAATACACCCTAGCTAAAGTAAGCCTTCTAGAGTTAATTAACAATCTATGTTAACAGCTAAACCCACTTCTGCAGCACTTAAAGCTATACTTCTACTTAATTTAGAGTTAACTCTTAGTAGTATATTTATTAATAATTAGATTGCTAAATTATAAGCACAGCTTAAGCAGCTAATCTAGCTAAAAACTACTAGTTAACCCCTACTAACTACTAAATTACCCTTAATAACACCCTATACTACTCTTACTACTCTAAGTACAAGAGACTTTTTAGCCACCTTTTAGACCTAGCAAATCTACCTTACTAAACATATGCCTAAGATTAAGATCCTTACAGACAGCAAAGAACATATGTTTAAATAATAGTAAGCCTTTATTACAAACAGACTTAACATTAATTTAGATTACTATTAAAGTAAGCGCGCACGCATAGCATTAATATAGAGACATACAGCTAGTATCGCGAAGAATTATCTAGAGCTAGGATACCTAGCTAAATTAGACTAGTTTTAGTTTAAGAGTGTAAAGGATATAATAAAGCTCTTATAAGCTTATTTTATTACTATTTAGAAGAAGACTAAGGCACAACAAGCATTCTAAACTCTTAGAATAGATAAAGAGGAGCTGTTTCCTACATTTAAAGCGCGCTTTATTAGTGCTGCTATTAAGAGAAAGGTATCCTAGTTAGATTAGTCTTTCTACCTATAAAAGAAGCTTCCCCCTAGCCTACAGGTACTAAACTATAGTTTTAAACATACCTAGGTAAACTCTTTTAAAGCTATAGTAGCTTACCTTACAGCGTACAATCTAGAAAGAAGGACCTATAGAAAAGACCTTGTTATTCTATCTAAATTATCTCTAATTAACAAACTACACCTGCTACCCTAATAATTAATAACTGCATGCGTAGCGTTTAGTTTAAAGGACACTGCTAGCAGTGCAAAAGAATAATTTAGAGCAAGGACAC